ATGACTTTTTTTTTTTTTTTTGCAAAGGTTAAATTCTATGCTATAAGAGGTAATCCTTTACTTATGCTTTAATTCATGTATGTATGATTAATTGATTCAACGACTTGATCTTGGGAGCCTTAGATGGAGAAATTTTTTTTTTTTAATTCTATACTTTCATAGGATGCATGATCCTTCATAAGTTACAACCGACGATAATAAGAGGTCCGTTTGAAAGCCAATGAGTTTGAAGCTTTAGAAAAGAGATAATCGATGAGTTTGGAGCTTAGGTTGCCATAGCCAACCGATTTGGAGTTTTAAGAAGCTATAGAGGAGATGAATAACGAGAATATGGAGCTTAGGAATCCATGATTGATGGGTTTGGAGCTTTAGGAAGCTATAGGTGGCGATTTGGTAGGTTTTTGGAGTTAAGGTCAATAACTTTTGTGGGTCTTTAAAAGTGAAGGTCGACGAGTATTAGATTTTAGAGAGTTATAGCCAGCAACTATGAAGGTTTTGGGAGTTCGTTTTGTGTTTTAGGATGATGGGTGCTACATGATTCTTGTTGTGAAATAAAAAAATGGCTTTATTTCCTTTTGGTCGAAGAAGAAGAAAAAAATGCCTTCCTCGAAGAAAGAGGAAAAATGGCTTTTATAGTGCGGTTTCTTATAGGTTTGGATAAAAATCTAATTTAGCTTTCTATTTCTCATTTTTTTCCCCTCGATTTAAAGATTTATCTCTTTATTTTCTCTCTAGACACTCTTCCAATTGGAATTCTTTTCAATTAAGCCTCTCATTATTTTTTCTTTGGTCTTAATCTCTTATATCTTTAATTGAACCCAAATTCCAATCTTTTAAATTATCTCTTTCGTTTTCCTTTCCCTTCCCTCTCCTTTTTTTTTTGTTTAAAATTCAAAATTGGAAGGGAGGGTTTACAAATCTAGGTTTTAACACATCTTATGAAATAAAGAGTCATCATTTTATTTTTATTTAAAAAAAATCTATTTTAAAACAAATTTGATTCCATTTGTCAATGGATGAGATTGACCAAAAGCAAACCAAATGGTGTGTTTGGGAACTTTTAACATTAAGGGAAGGAGCAAATGGTTGCATTTGGTACATATTTTGATAAAAACAAGTCAATTTTGAAAGTAGTATGTGGTTTAAGAACTTGTACTTTTTATATACAAACATCATGGTATGCAAAAATAAATAATAAATTTGATTTTACCTTCATGACTTTTCTTAGATTTATTGTGCTTTACAATATAAACCCTAAAGTAGCACACATTATAAGGAAGCGTAATGTAGGGACAAGAGACAAGCCTAAAGAGAGATGAATATAGCTTGATAAAAACTTGAAACAAAACTTAATACAAATAAAGAGCTTGAACGGTAAATTAAAAATGTAATAATGTAAAGAGATAGACGTAGAAAAATCAAATATAATAATTTATCATGGTTCAATTCATTTGGTGTAAATTAAATCCCAAGATTCACTTGGGATTTTTAAATCTACTAAAAATCCTCTTATAGACAAAGACAAAACCTTTTATAAACTCTTTTTTTTAGATCGAAGAGAAATCCACTTATTGTAGTCCTAAGTTTGCTTATAATCAAGATGTATCCAACACTTGTATTTTTCTTTTACTAGAGATTGACTCGAAAATTATATAGAATTATATTTATGTAAAGGAATAAAGAGATTGAACTTACCAAAGTTATATAAATTAATCTTGAAAAGATTTGTTTTTATAACATTTATGTATAAGTTGGGAAAATAAATTGAGAGAAATTTCACAATGAGATTGAAATTGATAATTTTATAAGGAAAACTTTCTTCTCGCCTAAAGAAATATGGTTTAACGACACTAGATCTTGGAGAGTTAAATATCACACTATTTTTAGTCATCACTTCATAATTTAAACTTTTGAATTGGAATAAATCTTTAACATAATATTAGAGATTTAGTGATAAAAAATTACGAGTTCAAATTTCATTATTTATATGCTTCGTGAGATGTGATGGTTGTTTGTGATTCGTTTTTTGTATTTGCTTTTGGTTATTTTTGTTCACAATCATAATGCATATTTTTTTTATTGTTTCGTGAACCCACAAGCCCAGCTTCGATTTTTTTAGACTAGTTCATTCTAAATTGAAAACCAACGGAGTTAAAATCGGATGCTTCCAGTTACCATCTTTTTATAACACTTACGAAGTAAAATCAAACACAACTTAGGTCCTCATCAATTTGTTTGAGACAAATATTACAGTAGTGCTCGGTAATTGGAGGGACTACACAATGCGATTAACTAAATTAAGAGCTAACTTCCAATATTTTTCAAAAGAATCGCTCCGCTCGACCCCAAAATTCGAACTCACTTTCCTATGTGATAAGTTGTAAATAACAAAAATCATCAAGTGAAATAAGAAGAAAATCATTTAGTGTATATGGTTACCGGGGCAGCTTGTTATATGCAATGGCGAAAGTCTTGGGTTTGCAACGAGTTCGTTACAAGTAACACAACCGATCAAGTTACAATTTTGTTCACTAAAGCACTCTCTTCTTCTTGGTTTCCAATGCTCAAAGACAAGCTTCGTGTTCTTGCTACTCCCATAAGCTCAAGAGAGATTGCTAAGAAACTTAAAATGACTAAGGATATAAAAAAGGAAGTAAAGCCCGGTGGTTTATTGTAATTGGCTAAACAAAATTAGACCGAGCTCGATTTAGGCTCAATCCATGAACATGCTTTTTCTTATGGTATCGATTTTGGACAAAGAAAATCCTTTGGGTCTTGTAAATTAAAGATGGTATAATAATATCCAATGAAGGATAAAATTATGGATTTATTGATGAAACATGTTTGATGGTAATAAATGTGTATATTTTCATAGGTATGTTTTTCAATTTAATTTTTCATGAAAACTTCAATTTTAGTATTTAAGATTTTGTAATTTTTACATACAATTTATTTATTTTCCAAGGTTTTTATCTGTCTTTTGAAATTAAAAAAAAAATGAGTAAGAAAAAAATTATAAACGAACAATAACAAATCCAAGCATAAGTAAATAAAAAAAGAAAAGAAAAGAAAAAAACACCGTATATTATTAGATTTCCTAAAAAATATCATATTCATAAAGTAGAGACAAGAGTGAACTTTTTAAAATAAAGTAAAACAATTTCCAACTTAGATAAAAAAAAATCAATGAATATAATTTTTTTTTAAAATAGCAAAGTTTGTTTAATATATAAATATGGTTTAATTTTAATCAATTCGTTTCTTTTTATAAAATTTGAAGCAATAAAAACCCGACACTTATCCCTCATGTTTTTTTTTAAATTAATTTTATTAGTTTCACCATTGACTGAGCTACGGAGGGACCTCTCGTTGTCCAAGAAATAAAATCATAGAAATTTAATTATTTAAATTGAAACCACAAAAGTGTTTTTTGTAAAAAAATCAATACCGGGTAATTTGGGATTTTCAAGTTTTTCTTAATTGTTGAAGTGAATAGATTTGTTGGGCTAAATAATGAGAATAGTTTTTTTAACTACATAATTATCAAATAAATTTGAAGTGATCAAAACTCGAAACTTGTTTCATAAAAAAAAATAACTATCTAAACAACAACTAGATTAAATATGTTTGTAATTTTTTATTTTTTAAATGTAAATGAAATTAAGAGAAATTGATTTTTCAAATGGATGGGCGCAAATGGACCAATGCGGGGCCGACTTAATGGCCTATGCCTAGTGGCCCCTATAGAAAGGAGGGCCCCAATTAAAATTTTACCATAAACTTACATCCTAAAAGAATGAGATAAATTAAAAGTTGTAGCTTCCATTTTTATTTACGTAAAAGTTTCGGAAAAATATTTGTGAGTGAAATAATTTTTAGATCTTCAAATTTTTTTATTATATTTCTTTCTTTCTCCAAATAATCGGGGATCTCTTATAAAACCTTTTCTAATTAATTTGGCAGAAAAATCGAAGGTAATTTTTTAATTTATGCAAATAAAATTATGTATATAAATCATATAATATTTTATTTTTTTCTCAATTTTTTTTTATTTTCTCGTGTGATTCTCTCTAGGTTTACTTGATTAGGCGTGACAAGCAAATATAATCGAGTGCCAAAGTTTCTTATTTTTTTTATAATTATATTTTAATTTTATTATTTGAATAAAATGTCTACTAGAAAGTATGAATGCGAATATGAAAAACGTAAGAAAAAAGAAAGGTAGAAGAACTAATTCAATCTCAAAAAGGTGCACTTGATAGATTTGAGAAAAAATTGTTTAAATCTTGAAAACTTTCTAAAGTACGATATGCTTTCTGATATTGATGGTTTAGATTTATTTTCAGAATTAAAAGTTTTAAAAGAAATTATAACTATGGAAATGAAAACACTACTTACCGTACTAAATTTTATAAAAGAGGTAAATTCTTTTCCAAATGCATGGATAGCATATAGAATACTATTAACTATCCCTCGTTATCGTAGCTTCGGCTGAAAAAAGTTTTTCAAAATTAAAATTAATAAAATCTTATTTACGTTCAATTATGTCGAAGAAAGATTAAGTAATTTGGCTATATTATCAATTGAAAAAAATTTGCTTTGTAAACTTGAACACAAAAATTTAATTAAAGATTTTGCATATCAGAAAGTAAGAAAAATATATTTTAAATAATGTTTAATATTTATTTATTTTAAGAAATAGTCTCTAAAATATTATTTTGTCTAAGGCCACGTATGTTATAGAGCCGGCCCTAGACCAACGCCATGTCAATTTTGGGGTCAATTGACAGCATATAAAACATAAGGGGTAGGAAAATTATTTGGCACAACTAAAGGGGCAAAAAGGTGTTTTTGCTTATTTTCTTCTTCTTCTTCCTCTTTTTTTTCACGACACGTGCTCTGATCTCGAAGCCACTTAAAGAATAAGAATTTACCTAGCTGCTAAATAGCGTGCTTGGCTTTGCAGTTTGCAATTCATTTTGATTTTTTGAGTGTCAAAAATGGCTTCTACCTTCTTCAGGAGACTAGCTAACGCCCCTCCAATTTCATTTGGAAGTCAGCCCAAGTCCGCTTTTGGAGCAATCGCTGCAGTTACTGGTGGAATTTCTTATTTGTACTATTACTCCTCTCCAAGTTTGGTAATCTCCCATCTGGGTTTTCTTTCTTTCAAATCACACTCATTTATGGTTGTTAAAATGGATATTATTAGCTAGGGAAGGCTGATGATAATCATAATTGATTGATTTTGAGATGGGTGTTCGCTTTTTTTTTTTTTTTTTTTTTTTTTTCAGTTTTGAATGCAAAATGTAATTTAATATTTTGAAATGCTTTTTGATTTTGACAATGTAACAGGCTCATTTAGAAGAATTGAAAGTAGAAGGCAGTCCAAAAGTTGGTGAGTCAGTTTTCTCTCCCCTCCCTTTAGTTCATGAGATGGGATGCGGCTATCCTGTTTTGGAAATTATATTGATGCTTGCTTGTTGTCTCTCTTTTCAGCTCTCAATCCAGATAAATGGATTGAATTTAAGCTGCAAGACACTGCCAGAGTTAGCCATAATGCTCATTTATTCAGGTCTGCTCTCTTAGCTCAATCACTTTTTTTTCTTTTTTGCCCCTGTTGTATATTGAACCGATTTTGGGTTATTCTGGAGCACATTATCCTGATGTGTGTAAGAAACTGATATCTAGGCAAATGTTACTTTAGTTGTTAATTATGTTCCATGCCTATAATAGTGACTTGTTTCCTGCCTTTTTTTGCTTTCGAATGTTAGGTTTTCATTTGATCCTGCTGCAAAGTTGGGTTTAGATATTGCTTCATGCATTATTACAAGGTATGTTTTATATGCTTTTGTTGTTTATACTCAAAGAAGCTTGTTCTAATACTTCTATATCTTTTCTGTAGATTTTGTTTTTTAGGATCAAAAGAGGCTTTAAAGTAAGTGTTTCAGTTCTTTCATTGCTTTGACGTGTTCTTGTAACTGCAGGGCTCCATTAGGACAAGATGCTGAAGGAAAACCAAAATATGTTGTACGCCCGTGAGTCTCCCTGTTGAAGATTCTAACATTGCTTGATTCAAGTTTTTTGTTTTTTTTTCCCCCTCTCAATATGGTGCTTGATTTCTTTCAGCTGTATTTCTTCATGGCAAGGCTCATTTTCCTTAGATTGTGTATGCCCCCTATTTGAAATATCTTGATGCCCTTTATTTGTCAGAGCAAAAGTTGACTGCTTACAAGTTTTTCTTGATACCTGAGTACTGAAGTTGTTTTTAGAACTGGATGTCTTGAATACCTAGGATGGAGCTCCATCCGAACTACACTTGCTATTGCATTTGTAGGCTCCTTGACATGCAGAATTTTGACCACCAAAGCCACTGTATCTCCTCTCTCCTCCTAGGAAAAAAAGGAAGATAAATAGTTTCATGTTAAAATGTGGTGTCTATGGTTCTTCTTTTGAAATGATTTTGTTGGCAACATTGTTAGTTTGTTCTTGGACTGTTCAAAGTTAATCTTGTTTAACTTATTCTCTATGCAGGTATACTCCTATATCAGACCCAGATTCTAAGGGATATTTTGATTTATTAATCAAGGTATTCTGTGATAGAAGTGTTTAGCTATTTTTCCTCACATAGTTCTCAGTTTAGACTATTAAAGATGACCTTGTATCACTATTTAATGCTCCTCATCTGGCATTTTTCTCCCATGCCTTTCAAATTGTTGCAGGTGTATCCTGAAGGAAAAATGAGTCAGCATTTTGCTACCTTAAAACCTGGAGACGTTGTTGAAGTGAAAGGGTAGGTTATTCACAACCATAAGCTAACAGATCTTTACTGTACATTGTCTTTGTCACTGATGCCTTTTTCTTGTTGCAGGCCCATCGAAAAGCTCAGATATTCTCCCAATATGAAGAAGCACATTGGCATGGTAAGGAATTGTCAACTCTCTGTCTGTTCTTCTAACCATGGCTAATATGTGTTTGTGAAAAGCCATTCATCTTATTTACATTAAATAATAGTGGGTTAGCAGTCCAATTCTCCATGTACCATGAAGGAAAAGATTTGCTACCTCATTTTTTGTTCTTATTGCAAGGTCCATTTACAAACAACATGTCCATTAATTCATCAAGAGTAATTATCATAATGCATGACACTATCCAGTTTGATGACGTCTGATTGTATCATGTTCTTTCAGATTGCAGGTGGCACTGGCATTACTCCAATGCTTCAAGTAATTGAGGCTATACTGAAGAATCCCGATGACAACACTCAGGTGACACTGTCTATATGTCATTTTCTGTGGTCATTAGCTTCTGCCCATTGAATATGTAACTTTGTATTTTCCCTCATACTATAATAATGATTTGAATGGTTCTGTTAGCATCAAATATTATATAAATATGTCATAATATTCATTTCACACAAAAATTTGTTACAAGATCATTTATTTATGTAGATCAATCATGTTCACTAATGTTTTCATGAAGTCTTCTCACCAAAAATAGTAGCAAATTGTTGATCTTAATTTTTTGCATAACAGGTATCGTTGCTTTATGGCAATGTCTCCCCCGATGACATACTTCTTAAACAGAAGCTTGACTTTCTTGCTGCTAGCCATCCAAATTTAAAGGTATCAGTTGTTTGAATTTGAAAATTTTCTGTATCAGTTTAAATACAGTTATTCTTCTCTGATGAAAAATCCTTAGTTCTTTTTTCTTTTATTTAAAAAATCCCAGATATTCTACACTGTAGACAATCCATCGAAGAACTGGAAAGGAGGTTCAGGTTACATTTCAAAAGATATGGTTGTGAAAGGCTTACCTCGTCCGAGTGATGATACACTTGTCCTGGTAAGTGTCAGTTTGTAACTCCTGCTTCTTAGCCATCATCAAACATAGCTAGTTCAACAGTGGAGGCCCAGGGAGGCAGGAAGGGGGCATTGCCCACTTGGGCTAAAAACATTAATCATGTTTCTCGCTCCGAAGCTGAGCCTAATAAATTCATTGATCTGGTATATTGGTTTAGGCTTTTTCCTTCAATAATGTGGGGTACCCGATATACACACATTAATATCTTGGCAAGTTTAAATTTGCATGTAGATTTTTTTTTTTTTTTTTAACCCACACATCTAAGGCTCCTAGCAGACTTGCTAGGATTTGAACCTGTGACCTCTTGTTGCAAGAGATCACTACCATTGGGCTACAAGCTCTTTGGTAAATTTGCATATAGATAATTACACATTCAAACGCCCAAAAATATATTTACACAATCATCTAGGCATACTTTTACAGGTATTATTATTTCAACCTTGTTTTGCATATGTTTTTGGCCTCCCCAAGAAAATCCTCCATGCTCCATCACAGTGTTTTCTTTACTGAACACTTTTATAAAAATTCTTTGCATCTTCAATTAGAGCTGCCAGATCGACATTATCCTTCATTCACGCAGGCAATTGCTGTAACGATCTATAACCTGTCTAATACTTTTTCTTTCATAGCAGATTTAATGAAGCCTTGTTCAAATATATACTGCTTCTTGATGTTTGGACTTTCTTACGAGTTACAGATATTCTTTTTTTTTTTTTTTTTTTGTGTAACAGATTACCTTTTTCTATGATTTTGCTAAACTCACTGAGCAAGTTACATAGCATTCATAGAATTACGAAACAATAATCACTATTTCTTGGCTACACTTCAAAGGACACCCTCTAAGTTTAGGATAGTTCTTGACTTCGATTTTCTTTAATTGAGTTATATAAATTTCAACTCACTGTCAGTGTTGTCCTTTCATTCATTCCATGAAGCGAATAGACTATTGTGTTCTTGCATGACAAAAAAAAGTACTCATTCATATCAGCTGTAAACTTGTTTTCTTTCTTCCAATAATAGTTGTTGATGTGGAAATTGGAATAAGGTTGTACCTCATTTTGAATGGCCTCGCTCTCCATACTGGTTGCTCTTTCAGGTGTGCGGACCTCCTGGGATGATGAAACATATATCGGGTGATAAGGCTGCAGATCGTTCACAGGGAGAGGTATGGACTTGTGTATTCTGCTTTTTGTTAATTTTTGACGATTCAGCAGTTTGTCGGTTTGTTAATACTTGATATTTGCTCTGTTGCAGCTCACTGGCCTACTAAAGGAAGTTGGATACACAGAGGAAATGGTTTACAAATTTTAATAGAGGCATTTAAGCAGCTTAGAAAGGCTACTTTCTGATTTCTACTAAATTTTTTTTGTAATGAAGATTTTCAGAAGAAACTCACGTCAAAACTCAAATTTCAAAATATGGAATAATTTGGCTGCGGTATCTAGATGCCAGGCTGATATAAGATTTTGTTCGCGTAGCCCAGAAGAGTTTATGCCTGTTGTGGCAAATTTAACGTAGCTTATGCATGATACAGTTTCATGACTGTGTGTAGGTCTTTTTGGGGTTAATTACCTTTGTCAAGAACCTTGATACTAAGGGAATTTTGCCATTTAATTGCATGTTTCATAAGAATTCTCAACAGTCAAGTTGTACGGTAGATGACAAGAGAGCCCGTCAATAAATTTAAATTGATCAAAGGAGATACTTTCTTTACTGTGTTGGGCGACAAGACTCTTGATTTTCCATTGATTCATTTCATATAATTAACGATGCAGTCTTTATAAAACATCGTTTAGCTGCACAAATGTTCGAAGTTAATTAAGCATCATTGTTTAGCTGCACAAATGCTCGAAGTTCATGTTTTTCAAATCAGAGGAAAGAAAGAGAGGAAAACTTACTATATTTAGAAAGATGGGTCGAAATTGAGGGAGAGGAATAGGAGAAATTTTGAGAAAGATTTATACAGAAAACTGAATTGCTTCAGCTAGTGAAATGTGAAGGTGATCGTTAAATTTGGTGAAATATGTTTTCCAAGGGGCAATCCAAGAGGAAGGGTGAATTGGGTTTTTTCCCAAAAAAAAAAAAAAAAAAAAGCCCACAGAAACCACTGCTCTACAACAATGGCCTTTTCAATCTGCTCTACAAAGACTTCCTCTTTCCCTTCCTCATCTCAGCGGTTCCTGTTGCCTTTATTATCTCTATGGAGCTAGCCAAGCCTCCAACCCACGTGTACCACTAACACAGCACCGGATTCTTTCGCGAGTGCGTCAAGCGGGACGATCTCAACCGTCGATTCATGGTCTCCTTCATGGGCGGTGGCATCGGCGAGATTGCTGTCGAAGATCACTCCTCGTCATCGGAAGAGACTATTTTAAAGGAAGTTACGGTGGTTAAAGACGCTGAGTTGACCGGACTTACTGGACCAGGTACGCTGATGTCCTTATTCTCATATTTTTATTTTCTTCTTTCAATGCCTTTCTTTTATTTCAAAAGTTAATTATTTAATTATTTGATCAAATAATGTTTAATTTAATATTATTTTTAAGAAATAATTGTTTTCATCAATATTTTTATAATATCTATTTTTTTATTTTTAAAATAAATTAAAAAATAACATAAAATTAAATAATTAATTTTTGAAATAAATAAGACTAATTAACTCGTTATTAAATAGAGAGACTAATTTATAATTTAGTCGCAATTTGGTATGAGCCTGGCTCCGAAGCGGATTCAGCTAGGGCCTCCACTAAAGGAGGAGAATCTGACAGAAAGGACAAATGTGCTTTCATTGTAGTCATTGCCCTGCAAGATATTAAGGAAATGATAGGTTCTTGATGCACTTTTTCTATCGAGTTTGCATCTAGTAAAATCAGCATCAGAATACCCCACAAGATCAAAAGTTAAAACTCTAGGATACTATAGTCCTATGTCAGCAAAATAATTCAAGTATCTAAAAATTCTTTATACTACACTCAAATGAGATTCTTTGGATTAGATTGAAATCTAACACACATACAGTCACTGTACGTTATGTCAGGTTTGCTTGTAGTAGGATAAAACAAAGATCCAATCATACCTCTATAGAGTTTTTTATGGACACGAACACCTTTTTCATCATAGTCTAGTTTGAATAAACTTGCTATAAGTGTCGTGAAACTTCTAGCTATTCCAGACTTCTTAATAAAGGTTTTATTATACTTAGACTGACTAATGAAGATCCCATCTACTGTTTGTTTGATTTGTAATCCTAAAAAGTGGTTGAGTTCACTCATCAAGCTCGCCTGAAACTCCTTTTGCATGATAGTTTAAAAATATGATCTTCGAATTTTGGATTCTCAAAGCCTAGTGGTCGAGAAACATATACTTCTTCATTTATAAAACCATTTAAGAAAGCAGATTTTACATCCATTTGAAATGGCTTAAAGTTTTTAAAATATGCATATGCACATAACATTCTAATTGCTTCTAATTTAACTACTGGAGCAAAAGTTTCATCAAAGTCAATACCTTCTTCTTGTGAGTATCCTTGAACTGATAAATTGGCTTTGTTTCTTATTACTTCTCCTTGCTCATTTGTTTTGTTCATTAAAATCCATTTAGGACCAATAACCGCATGATTCTTTGGCATTAGAACCATTTTTCGTACATCATTTCTTTCAAACTGATGAGGGTCTTCTTGCATTGTACTTATCCATCCTTCATCATTTAAAGCTTTTTCAATCTTCTTTGGTTTGATTTAAGACAAGAAGACCATGTTATTGATTTTATCCTTCAAAAGAGATCTTGTCTGAACTTTTTTTTGTTATGTCACCAATGATATGCTCTTTTGGATGATTGCTTGAAAATTTCCAATTTGTTTTGGGTTCAACAATCTTTATTGTGGCATCTGCTGTTTCTTCTGTTAATGAGCTTAATTGTTCAGATATTTTACCTTCGACCTTCTCTTCTGATATATACCTGCATCATCATCATTTTTTTTTTTTTTAAATTATAAATTATATAAGCCTTGTTAGAATAGAACTATCTCAAGAATATCCCTTCCTCTGATTTAGAATCAAATTTGTCCAAACTCTTCTTTCCACCATTTAGGACAAATCATTTACAACCAAAATCATGAAAGTAGGAAATATTAAGAATTTTACCTTTTCATAGTTATGGTTTCTTGTTGAGAATAGGTCTAATTGATACTCTGTTTAAAATATAACAAGCAATACCTACATCTTTTGTCCAAAAGTAGCTAGTAAGATTTCTTTCATTCAACATTGTTCTTTTCATTTCTTCCAAGCCTCTACTCTTTCTTTCTACATCTCTATTTTGTCATGGAGTTCTAGGAGCTGAGAGAGTGTGATTGATACCATAATTTTCACAAAAAGATTCAAAAAGATAATTTTTGAATTCAGCTCCATAATCATTTCTAATATATACAATGGTAAGTTGCTTTTCATTCTGAATTTTCTTTGCAAGCTGAGAAAATAAATGGAATTCATGATTTTTATGAGCTAAAAGTAAAGTCCATGTAAATCTTGTAAAGTCATCTACTATAACAAGAGCATACTTATTTTCTCCTAGGCATGCTGAACTAGTTGGTCCAAAGAGATCAAGATGCAAGAGTTCAAAATGTCTAAAAGTAGAAACATAATTCTTGCTTTTGAAGAAAATTCTGGTTTTCTTTTCTTTGAAGCATCAAAAAAATTGTTATTTTTAAAATTGATTTTAGGGGAACCTTTTACCAAGCCTTGTCTGTGCAGCTATGAAATAAGGTCAGTACAAGCATGATCTAACCTTTTATTCCAAAAGTGTGAATCATTATTAAAAACAGCTAGACAGCTTTCAAAGTTCATATTAGAGTCATCTAAATTTATCACATAAATATTGTTCACCATATGATCAATGAACAAGATACTATGATAAAAAAAAAATGCTTTCAACAACATATAAAGCAGATTCAAAAGTTACTCTATAATTTTTATCACAAAGATTACTAATGCTTAAGATGTTGTACTTAAGGCCTTTTTTAACTGAAAGAACATTCTTAACATACGATGTCTTATCTTTGCCAACCTTACTTGCTCCTAGGATTTTACCTTGGTTGTTATCTTCAAAAATAATTGAACCTGTCTTTTCTTTAAGGATTGAGAACTTAGTTTTATCTCCAGTCATGTCTAGAGCAGCCAATGTCTAGGTACGATACATTTGATTTTTTTTTATATTTTTTTAAAGTTTTTGAATAAACCTGCAACATACTGTTTTGACATTTTGATTTTGGTAGCCAAAGGTATTTGAGTCGAGGGGGTTAGCCCAAATCGATGGAAGAGGTACAGTTTCATTCACAGTCCATACAAATTTAACAGGTCTAATAATACTGGTGCATAAAGCTTTGTTTCTAAAAGAAAAACTTCGTTTTTAATAACCTTGGTGATTACAATGAAAGCAAGTAATCTTGCGTGAGATAGTTTTTAGGTTTTTTATAAACTCAAGTTTTTCAGGTTGCTGATTACATGCATCAAAACTCAAGCCATGTTTATCAAGACTGTCTTTGAGAACCAATAAGCTTTTCAAAATTTCTTTTTTCTTCAGTAAAAGTAAAGATTGTTTTCTCCAAATCTTTTATTTTTTTTTCTTTCAATTCAGTGTTTTTCTTTGCAAAATTTTCGATATCTATCTCTGAGTTAGAACCGTTGCAAAGCAATTTTGACTCTAAAATCAGCTTTTTATTATGCAAATCAACAATCTTTTCTCTTAAGATGTCATTTTCATTCAAAATAGAATCACTTTAAGATTTTAAAGACATGTTTTGTTCTAAAAGAGTTTCGGTCTTCTTTTTTTTTTTTTTTTTTTTTTTTAAATAGGTTTAGTTCTTGATTCATATGAAGAATCTGTTTGTTAAAAGCCGCATTTTTTTTTTAAAGAGAACTTTTAAATTCTTTTGAAATTTCCTAAATAAATCATGCAGTTCATGAAAGTTACCTCTTCATATGTTTTACCTTCTTCAGTATCATCTTTGACCATCAAACATTGAACTCCAATAGTGCCAAATATTTCTTCCTCACCGTCTGTTTCTTACCCATCATCTTTACTCCAACTTTTTACAATCATCACATTCCTTTTGAGCTTTGCATTAACTGTCTTCACTGAATTGATTGTGTGATTTCTCTTTACCAGAAGGCGGACAAATGCATACTATCTAGGTTTATTGCACTCAAAACATATGATTGTATCTTTATTGGAGTCATTCTTTCTAGTTGGTTTCTTTCCAAAACTCCTTTTCTTTTTGAGGAACTTTTCAAACTGTCTCATCAACAGTGTCATATCTTCTTGATGTTCATTGTCACTGTTAGTTTCTGCCTTGTGATTACTTTTAAATGCAATCTCCTTTTTCTTTTTGTTGGAATCGTCAGCATCATCATTTAGTGTTATTTTGGCGATCCATTCAGTTCATCCAAATTCTGAATACATTCGAAGTAATCTTTACAAAACCGAATTTCATGATACATCATATGATTGTAGGCATTAAGAATTTTTCAGCTTCTTTCCTTAATATTAAAGGCATTTTGGTACAAAAAAATTTAAAAATAGATTGTTGGAAGGTAAAAAAAAAAAAAAAAAAAGGAAGAGAGACAAGCCCAGGCCCAGCAGACCTGTGCACCAGGCCAGGCCCGACTGCTTGGGCTTGCTTGAGCAGGCCTACAAGCTAGGCTAGCACCGCTTGGGCCTACTTCACCAACTGAAAAGAAAAAACACAAACCCGCAACATTTGGCAAATTCAAATTCGAGAAGCTTTGTTGGAAAGTTGCCGGTCTTGTTTCAAACTTCAAAAAACTCATTTCGAACGTTATTTTTTCCTTCAAACACTTTTCAAATGACCGAAATAATATCGATAAACTTTTTTAAAATCTTAAAAATTATTTTAATACACATTAAAATAAAAAAATCAAATTAGAAAATTCAATTATTTTTTTACTTCAATCTACTTTCTCTTTAAGATAAAAAAAAAGAAAAAGAATATCATCAGCTAAAGTGGTCGGAATATGTTTAGCTAGAATCCTCTCTCTCTCTCTCTCTCTCTCTCTCTCTCTCACTCTCACCTCCCTTCTGTTCTTTTCTCCCTCCTCTTTACATGTAGGGATCATAGTGTATTATAAATAAAGTTATAGATCGAAATAAAATTTTTAGAAATATCAAGGATTAAATTGTAAAATTTTGTAAAATATGCATATAATTGCATGCAAAAAAAAAAAAAAAAAAAAAAAAAAATATATATATATATATATATATATATATATATATATAAAAATAAAAGGAGCTTAGTCTATAGTGCAACTGAGCGTGAGGTTAGAGTACTTGCACAATAAACCCTTCAAATCTTTTAGTTCTTTTTTGTAATTTGTAATGCTTGACACAAAATGAAATAATTTGAACGATGCAACATTAGAAAATGAATAAAAAAGATAGTGACCACATGTTTAATTGCAGCGTATGCCTGGTGATTTTAGGAAATTGTCAATTGAACTCTGCATTTTTTTTTCAATGCTATTAACCTCTCTTGGTTTGAGAAACGTGGCACGTTGGCCCTTTCATCCATCGTCCATCCAATTTTTTTTATGTTAAAATTTGAATTAACAGGAGCTACTAGATACATGTCACGATATTATAGGGACCTTTTTCATAAATTTTCATTTTAGTTCTTATGATTTTCACAAAAATTATTTTATTATATATATTGTGGAAAATGCCAAAAAAACTTTTTAACTATTTTCATTTAACATTTACCTTCAATCTAAATAGAAAAGAAAAGAATCCACATATACTATCAAGAGAGCTATCATGGTCATCACAATAATAACAACCATAGATATTGAAATAAAAATAAAAATAAAAATTCAAAGCTCTAATAAAAGCAAATTCAACAAATTATATATTAATGACAAATATCGTTTAATACACTGTTGACTTTATACTAAATATATATTTAGTATGATGTAGTGAATCATGCGACGTTAATGATTGATAATATTATTATATTTGATTGTGTAATTTCAAAATTATGATGTAATAGACTATTATAAATATACAATTGTTATGATTAATCAAATTACAATTAGTAATGAGCATTACATAGCAATAATAATAAAAAAGCTATGCAATCAACCATTACATGATTAAAGGTAATTTTATAGGGGCCAAATGTAATATATTTTATCATAAGGAACAATTTGTATTTTTCAGTAAAATAAGGGGAAAAAATTATTCCAAATAAGGACCAAATGTAAATAAAAATAAATTATGTGGAAAAAAATATTATTATGTTTTTTTTATAAATATTATAGGGACTAAAATAAAAATGTGTGAAAATCCCCTACCTAGATTGTGACATGTGTCCATTAGCGCTTACCAATTAAACATAATTCTAAGGGCACAATTGAAAGGATGGATGGATGAAGTGGCTTGTTGGACACATTTCTCATGGAATGGAATTTCTTAAATTATTTTTTTCTGTATAAAAGAACATGAATTATAACATCAATGTTGCTATCTATTTGGAGCCTACGAATAATAGGATCCCTTTACAACTGATTAAGTGCCTCTTGGCCCTTCTAAACGAATGTAATCATACATGACACCATGGAAGGGGCCATCACTTCTAGTCTGAGTTAGATAAATTGTATTCTTCCCATCGACAAGTTGAGAACCTGGCACGCTAATGCTATATAACCAGTACAACCCATGAATCCCATGTCTTGCAATCGCATTATCCTTTCCTATTGCTCCTGTTGTGAATAGTGGTCGATCGCTACTTGGATTGTTGAACCGAACCTTTTGACCAAATTACAGCAGTTCTATTAGTATTATTTGGTATAAGAGAATTGCATTTCTAGCAACAGGTAAAATGGTGGCAGATGATACATACCTGTATTTCGGATGCAGTAGCTGATGCCAAGGCTAATTGGAGAGTGTAATTTTCATTTCGGTTTATGTTTTGGAGTTCAAAGATAATCTGCCAGGTGGTGGGCTCGTACGTCGTATTTCCCACATCTCTGGTGTTGATCAGGTGTTAGAATTAGTTGCAGCGAAGTTAACTAAATAGCTTACAGGCTACAGCTAAAAGATTAAGCGAAACAAGTACCTGGTAACATGGGCAAAGAACCAGTCTTCAACATTACTAACACCAATGGTATATACGAGATCGTTGTTGGGATATAAATCAGAGTATCGGTTCCACAATCCATATTGCCTAAACCTGGACGTATAAACTGGTTATACAGATATATGGAAGGGAAGAAAAATCTGCAGCCGGAGTGTGTGGCAGTTTTGAGGAGGGCTTACTTTTCTGCCGGATCACGGTTGTACAATTTGTTCATCAGCGTTGGGTATCCCTCTGGCACATAGAACTCTGCAGCTGTGCGGTCAGGAATCCCAATATCCCACAGAGTAGGACCATTTCTTGGAGGCTCGTATATGAGGTAACCAAATTTGATCCTAGATCCTGCATTTTGGGTGTGTTAATCATGTTCTTAACCAGACCAAAAAGAAGGGAAATGAAGCCGACAGTATCATGGTTTAATTTTGAGCCAGTTTTAGCAATATATCCAAGTCCGCATTTTGACACACAGTATGCACCAATAGGCCAATTCCATTTTGATCCTGTTATAGGTCACTCTTGTCAAGAAAAAACAAAATTGCTTTTGAAGCCTATAGAAACTTCTTCAATGGGGTCTACTTAAGACCAGAAATAGCAAAATCAGCATAGAATCCACATCCAAGTAGCGAGTTGTTTCTATCTTTTAGCTTTACCGTCTCTTTCTCAATTTGTCCAGAATCTCAAATCTATATTTTCTTTTAAGAAAAAGGAAGAATTCCATACCTGGTTTAATGGTTATATCAGCATTATACTTGTAATCCCCAATGGTACCAGGAACCCATGCATACAAACTATAGTTCCCAGCTCTGACATTTTTAATTACAAAACGCCCATATCTGTCAGCTCGAATCCAGAATTGATAACCCTGAAAGAAGAACAATATTTTCAAAAGACGAAGAAGAAGATGGATAAATTTCTGAATATTTCAAGTTCAAGCTGACGTTACCTTGGCTTCTGTTTGCCATGAGCCCACATCTCCTGGCGCAGCCAACCCCACATAAGCAGATTTGGCATGCACTAACCTCTCACTGACGTATCTGAAATGGAAAAAACAAGAAGAATTATTAGCAAATATTTACTTTTAACAATTTCGGTTATCCGCAGTCACCATAGCATTACCGGTCTCGAACCAGTAATTGGCCCATGACAGTTCCGCGCTGATCTGAGGGAGGGAAATCTTGTGATCGAGGAAAATTGTATGGCCACCGTTTGACTTCTATCGACGTCTAATTATTCAATGAAACATCCCGTCACAGTCAATAAATGTATGATCCATAATTTCTCATTGGAATCAATATAGCAGAGTTAGCAGATTCGTAACCTGTTCTTTAGCATCTTCCCAAAGCATCGAGGGGTCTTCTTTCGGTGAAACAGAATTAAGATAGACAAATACGGGGCCAAGAACCTTTTTCCATGGCTCTCCATTTCTGTATGCTGTGTTTAAGTCCTTCCCAGCATAATGCGTGCTCGTGAACATCTACATTGGAATGAACGAATTAGACAAGCTGAACACAAGAAGTTAGCAAAACATTCAGACAGGTGACCCCCCTCAGCCGCAGCTTGTTTGACCACTAAAGGAATCAGACATAAACACGTATCACAGAGTTTGGATTAATTGATTGCTTACGTTGAGAACAACAGGGCCCACATGGGAAGTAAGATCTTGCTTGATTGGTCCACCAACGCGGAATTCATTACTGGGCGTGATCATCCAAAATCCCACAGGAGGATCTTCTGCCATCCACCCGTGCACCTTATTATCTTTGTCCTCGCATGAGTATTGGTACTTGTCATCTACCTGCATCTCGCATTTTCACGGGACTTTCAGAAAACTGATGCAAGAGACAAAAATCGACGAAAAATTTACACAATAATGACCCCCCAACAGAGGCTAGCGTGTGACAATCATGCCTGTCCCTTCTGAACTATATATGCTTGGCAAATAGAGAAATTACAGATACCTCTCCTCTAAGTTCTGGGTCTATCGGTTTGGTCAGGAGAACAGCTTCAGGATAGGCCAGAGGTTGACCAGTTTCTCGGTCTTCAGGCATGGGCATGGTCCTTCGCCTGGAGTCCGATAATGCCATGTAATGAAACCTGGCCATATAAATTTCAGACATTACATGTACAGTATATCAGATTAATACTTGGTTTCTGCTAGTACTAGTAACAGAGTAGTACTCATCAATTAATGGCAAAGTGAATAGATTTTGATTTTGTTTTTACTTGTCTTTTTGTAGCTTGAAAACGACTCTAATTTGATCCATGTCAACATCAGGCCATCCTTCTAAACGTTCCAATATGGTATATAAGTAAAGCCCTGACTGCCCACGCCTAACTATATACCTGCAGTTAAACATGAAATTAAATTAAAATGGAAGCATATTTTGATTCTGATGGTATTAAATTATTATGCAGAATATTAATTTAGACTTCACCTTTTGTCTACATTTAAAGGAACTGTGGACTTTCCAGTGGAAAGATCCCATGTTTTGGTGAAGGATACTTCCACTTGGTTTTCGTCTTCCATTATAACTTTAAAATCTGTTGCTACTAACCTGCAGGGAAGTAGAGATTTGAATTATGAAACAACTTTGTGATCTAATTATTTAAAGCTAGCTAGTGTCATAACACATGCAATCAAAACTGTGCAATTACGTACCCCTCTGCATTTGTATTGACACGCTATATACACACATGCAAGCCGTGTCATGTTTTTCAGAATATAATTAAGAGAATCTCAATCAACGTAAGTATCCTGATATCAATTCATTGAGAGAGAGAGAGAGAGAGAGAGATTTACTTGTCAAAGATGATACGATTTCCTGGCTTGTTCCAGACCACGTCCCAGTATCTGTACTTAAAAATATATGTAGGTGAAGACTAGCAATTAGTATAAAGTTAAAGATTATTGTGAATACTACTTCTCTCCCTAGCTACATTATTCTTACTCAAACAAATTAAAGAATTCTATAGAAAACTAAACAGATTTTGCACGATTAAAACTAAATGTTCGTACCCTCGATTATCTTCTTCGTTATTGATTTCAAGTACGTTGTCAATTCCTTTGTATTTGATTCCGGTAACATCACCATCTGGATTGGAAAGCGAGACTCGGACAAGTCCATTATCAATCACCACCTGAAAAAGCCCAAATAAATAAATAAATAAATAAATAAATTAGTAAAAATTGTTCAAGTGTACATGATGCATTAATATTCAATGGTTGTTTCATTGTTAATTAATTACGTGACGATTCGTTATATTTAGCTGAACTCCAGGAGCCCTCAAGCTGTCGTTCGTCCTTGGAATTTTTCTGCAGGTAAAAATACAATAACATACATTACCTCATCAATAAAGTTTAAAACAACGAAATTATTTGCAATATATATATCCCTTTTTATTTTCTATGCTTGTTTACATTCTCTAAGAACTGAAAAGGCAAGTCAAGCGTTATAAACATTTATGCCAAAAAAAAAAAAAAAAAAAAGCTGCTAAAGCCTGAAAGGGAAACGATTGAAAAGCCAGCAATTTTTTTTTTTTTTGGTGTATAGATATAATTATTGTCATAGTCTCACAAGCGTGCCCTGTTTTTGAAGGCAAACATGCAACTGCACAGCCTTTTAAACGTTGGAACTATAAATGGGTAAATTCTTATTAACATGGATTACTACCTAATCACGACCTTCATTAGTTTAATTGCTTAAAGTTTGAGAAGGGGCCGGGAGAGAACCAACTACTCTATAAGAGAATATGTAATTTAACTGAGAATGTGAACAAGAACAAGACAAGAATAGAAAAAAGCACAAAACTGTTGGCCACTATTTACCACAAAAAATAAGACCCATAAATTATTGAAGGAGAAGAAAAAGTTAACGTAAAAGTTGTTCTATGAATGTCTGCAATAAATTTACTGTTCCAAACTAGGAACAGTTGCAAGACATGTGAACATAACAATAATAATCTCATTACTGCAGCCCCTCTCTCTCTCTCTCTCTACACACCGATACGAACAAAAACAATTATAAAACGACAGCAAGAAGAGCTAGGGATGAGGAAGAACCTGACTGGGGTCTTCGCGAAAGCAGCTGTGAAGAAGAAGAAGAAGAACCAGACGACGAAGGGCAGATGACACCCACCACGGCAACGCACATTCTTCATTTTTGTGCTCACGAATTCTCCAACAAGCTAGACGAAACTCAAAAGCTGAGATAATTAAATATTGCATGCATAAACTTGGAAACAGCTGAAAGGAAATGAAGAGGATAGAAAATAATTACTACTATTAAACTAAGATTACCAGAAAACAGAAGATGCAGAGATACCTTACTTAATGCCAAAGTGTATCCAGAAAGTTGTTCTCCAAAGCAAAAGAAAGTACGCTATTAGAAAGGAATGAAGCACAACAAGGTATCAGATTGGAATAACTTTCATTTATCTTTTTGACTTAATTTCTTCATGGTTACTAATAACTGCTAATATATAATTAAATCTGCTCAATTTGCAACCTAGCTTATTAATCAGCTCAAAAACGGGCAAAGATAATCAACGGTATATAGTACGACGTCGTGATCTATGACCTTTTTAATAACTCAAAGAATGATTCTCAGGTGCTTTTATATGTGTTTACCACACTTGGGAGTTTTTTTAATATATGTTTTCCTATGTTAGAACAAGATGCCGAAAGGTCGACCAAAGGCGCTTTTTGTGGGTTTCAGGGTTGAGCTTCAAATAAGAGATTTAAGTCATCTTTTATAGAGGGCTCATTGGACGATTCGGCCACAAAAGAGAGTATCACGTTCTCTCAAACTCAAGAAAGAGAGATTTTAGTCTCCACACGCAAAAGTTGGTATACCATATTATTATTTAGCTAGCCACAAACCAAACTACAGGACAGTGCATCACGCGGTCAATAGGAAAACATAATCAATCCATTCAAAGCTCCTCATGCAACACAATTGACAATGTTGACACATTTTGGCAAATATTGAAAAAAACGTGAAATTCTGGGTCTAAGAACAATTAAGAAGGTTGTTTCCTAACGGTAAAAGTCTTGATGCTGCCTAACCTTTTGATTGCGGACGCCAACAGGTATCAAATTAAACAAGATTTCGTAAATATATATATATATATATATACTTATATAATAAAAGTTAAAGTAGAACGAAGAATTTGATCAAAGGAAGTTTCCTCAATTAATAACAAAGCAGGAAAATTTACATGGTTTGGCATACACTTCCTTTCCATGTAATGATAACAACTCTATAGCCTTCTTGCGCTAGGTTGGGTTAGAATAGATTGCAGCAATTATATAATAGCAAATTAAAATTTCCGTTCTTGAAGTCAAATAATTGATAACCAAATAGGAGACTTGCAGGAGCCCAAGGGGAACTTTTTTGTCAGGACGGACTTCTATTTGGGTACATATAATATTCCTTTCAATTAGTTATCAAGATATTTTCATCTTCATATTTAATTAAATTTAAAATCTTTCCTTTTTGATTGGGATACTCATTCCAATCATTTTCTTTTAATTAAACTCTAAAAGAAGCTGTTCTAGATATTTATATATACGCACTTACCTCTTATGTCCTAGAAAATCTAGAGATGAAAATCATTTAAGATATACTTAACTTTTGATGTATACTTTTATATGATATGATCATAGAAAATCTAGGGAAAAAAGTTATTTTAGATTTACTTATCTTTTTCATACTTTTTTACATACATAGAAAATAAAACAAGTTTTTTTTTAAAAAAAAAGTCAAAGATTTTTTAACACAGTAAAATTGTCTGATCAATTTTTACGTCGGATAAGTATATATTGTGAATTCTACTTTGATGAGTTGATATTCGTTCGACAAGTGATTTCTATACGATTATTTTGTAAGATTAGTAATTCCTCCATCCCAAAAAAAAAAAGTTCTATTTTTTTTATATTATCTTTGTGCCAAAATGGTTGTCCATTCAAAATTATAATAGTGTATTTTCTTAAAATACACTTAATTGAAATCGATTTTGTAAAAAAAATTGTCCAAATACAATTATATAATAATTATTATTTTTTTTATAAGAAAGTATGAACAAAAGATGTTATTATAACTCAACAATTAATAATTTTCTTAATCCGTATGAAAAATCAAAGAGAACAATCTTTTTGGAACAAATCTTAAAAAAAAAACTATTATAGATTTACTTATCTTTTGCATACACTTTTATGACGTGATATAAATTTAGAAAATAAAACAAGTCCTAAAAAAAGAAAAAAGAAAAGACAAGAAAAATCAAAGATTTTTTAACATGGTAAAATTTCCTAAACCGTTTCTAAGTTAGATAAGTGTGTTAATTCTACTTTAATTAGTTGATATTTGTTCGAAAAATGAATTTTGTCAGATCTGTTTTGTGAGATTAGTACCCCATCGATCTCAAAAAAATTGTTTACCTTTCTATTTATATCAGTTTACCTCACATTCAGATTTTGTATAATTCGAATTTTTTTGATTGAAACATTTTATAATTTTTTAACTTTATTGAAACTCTCGTACTCTTACAAATTTATTGATTCAAACCCTTTGTTAACTATTCATTCGAAGTGGCGAGGCTAAAATTAACGAGTAATCAATCGCAAATGGACATGTGGCATAATGATCTCAACTAACCGTGTTTGTGTAAATCTTTTTTTTAAATTTTTTATTATTAAACTAATATTTAGTATTTAAAAATTATTGACAAAGAGCACATTACTCCCGCTATATTAGCTAGAAAAACTTAATTTCTAAAATTTTTAAAAAACTATTTGAACAGAATCTTTCATTCTTTTTTTTTTTTTTTTTAAATACCCTTAATTAAAATTTATTTTATAAAAATTCGTCCAAATACAATTAAAAAAAATCATTTTAAAAAAATATGAACAAAAAATGCTAATACTACTTAAAAATTCATATCTTTCTTAATTGATGTGAAAAATCAAAGAGAACGATTTCTTTCGAGGAAAAAAAGTATTATTCTGGAAAAAAAATTCAATATTTCATTCGTTTATTGCAAGATGAGAATTTCATTGACACAAAATTAGTGACAAAGGATTTAATTATGGGATGCATGCTTAATTATTTAAGGTGGATTCTGATAAATATATTCTAGTATAATTTAATTAGTATTTGGAATACATCATGGTGTTCAGACTCACCTAGCTAATTAAATAAATTCCAAAATTCATGACAATAATTACAAAATAAAACGATTATCATGAAACATACAAAATTTTCTTATTCTATCGTAACCGAAAGTGAATTAGCCACTGATCACTCCACGTTCTGATGGATTATACCTAGCTAGGCAATGGCACCTCTATCTGCGTTAAGTTTTTCTTTACAATAATATTAGTTATTTTAAGAGGCAGTCCTAATTAAGGAAAACTAACATAGGATCACAAAGCATTATGATTTTTTTATTTTAATCATGCAAAGCAATATTATATATGAAACTAAACAGGGAAATATGGCGGTGAATAGGTTAAATACTTTAGTCTATATATATATATAGGTTAGTTAGTGCATTTCGCATTCATGTTTGGATTTTGGAAGTGGGCCAATCCTTCTCGAATGTTGTTGCTCTTATTATTATTATTATTTGTTTCTTCAAGAAATTAAGTGCTTGCCTGCTTGAGTTTCGAAACCTCGATGATCAAGTACTCGTCAAAGTTAGTTACTTTTGTCGACCGGAAAGGAAGCTGAGGAGACCACGGTTGGTTATCTCTGCCGAAATTTGACGAAAGACATCTGCAATTTAAACATGCATAATATCTGTAGTTTCAGTTTTTCTTCTTTCTTTCTATATATATGTATATATTGACCTTTCTTAATAAACTTAATTAGAAAAATTAATCTTCCAACAATATTTCTCATTAATTATAAACTAAAGTTCATCTCCACCCTCTCATTGCTGATCATGATCATGATGGCATCTTAATCTCGGGATTCGATCATAATTTAATCTTAAAAAAAGTGAAGAAAATGACACACACTCATACAAGCATTAGCTAATGTAGCAACACAACTTTACCAAGAAAAGGAACGTTTCTTTCGGCAAGCTTAAGAGGAGGCGGCAATTGTAGGAAAAGGTTGCAAAACCACAAACGAGGGAGGTAATGGGAGGAGGCTGTTTGTGTTGAATAGTCAATAATTTAATTGAATGGGATCAAACCTTAATTATGGGATTCGTGTAGCATGATATATAATTTGGAAGTGGATCATTCCAACCGTACCGGAATGTCTTTCAGTTTTTTCTTTTTTCTCATTCGTTGAACTTTTGCTTGAAAAGCAAAGAAATTGGTTGGCAGCTGGAGTTTTGAAACCTCGATCGAGCCGATGTCAAAGTCAGTTTTGTTTATTCTTTCGTTGGGCAAGAAGAAAACGGAGAGACTGAAACTCCATTACGCCATCCTGTCTCCTTTTCAGACTTGACTTGCATCCCTAATTAAGCATTTGCGTTCTGTATTTTCTGTTGACCATTAACAATCAAAAATAAAAATGCCATATTTTTATGAAATGGAGTGCTAATATAATTAAGAGAGTTGGTGAATCATTAACTTTTCTTTTTGGCTTCATCATGCTATAGATTTTTTTTTTTTTATTGATATTGTCAAAGGATTAGGAACGTTAGGAATTATTCTAACCAGTAGCCACCTATCCCAAAATCCCTATTCAGTAGGTTTATTTTTCTTATCTATGTTTGTTTAACGAAAACACTAATCATTTTTACGTAAAAAAAAAAAACAACTATGAGAAAAGGACGACTTTCATTTTATGATTGAAGTCAACCAAGAAATCCTGAAGTAGGCAATTAAAATTTATTTTCCCCCTCGTATTCTACGCTAAGAATAACTTCAGCTATTTTTCATTAAGAGGATCGAATACACAAATAATAATAATAAATAAATGTTTTTTTCCCTTAACAATTTATTTTTCGTCACGTACACGGAGATGGGTCCTCATGTTTCGGTTGAACAATACAAGTTTTTCCCATTACCTTAACCAACCCCCACTTCTATTAACAGTTCTTTTCTTTATCAATTAGTTGGTGAAGAAGTCCTGAGACTTTTCTATCTTTTTTGGTTCAACGACTGCATAATTTATTAATTCATTGTTTTCTTCGATCTTATC